GGAGAAAATGCCTCATAAAGAGATCGGCCAGAAAGAAGGGGAGTAGGCATGCGGTTGAAAAGAAAAGTAGTAGTAAGAACTACCTCCCCCCAGAATGGAACCAGAACTGAGGCAGAGAGAAGAAGTGACCTAGTTGTCTCAAGAAGATGACGGTATTTACGTTCGGCTCGACCATTTTGGGCAAGTGTATCTGTACAGAAAGTTTGGTGAATGGTACCTAAATTGGCCAAATACTCATAGAACTCATTTTTAAAATATTCCTCACCCAAGTTAGACCTTAACACTTTAATTGTAGACTCAAACTGAGTAATAATCATAGATTGAAATGTACAGTATATCCGACAGAAATCGGACTTATGAGTCATAAGTTAAACCCAAGTGTAACGGGTGCAGTCATTAACAAATGACACATAGTATGCAGAACCCCCTTTAGTAAGGACACGAGAAGGGCCCCAAATATTAGTATGAACTAAAGAAAATAGTGTATCAGATATAGAAGTAATTTTACGAAAAGGTAAGGTTGTCATTTTGGCAAGTTTACACCCCCGACATTCAAGAAGGTCACTAGGAAAAACTTTACCCAATATACCTAACTAAGCTAAAGACCGTAAGCGGTCAGCAGACAAATGCCCTAATTTAGAATGCCACAAGTAGAAATGAGTGGACAGAGAATCTAACTGAAAAAAGAAAAAAGCAGTTGGAGAAGTTGTTATCTGCAGATGCAAGCTCTCCACCACATAGAGGTCTCTAACTTTACGGCCTATCTCAATCTACTGCTTAGACATTCGATCCTACACAGAACAGATAAAAGAAGAAGAAGAAGAAAAGATAATATCAAAACCGGAAGTATCAAGCTGATTGATAAATAATAAACTGACAGATAACTAGAGAACAGAAAGGACAAATGGAATAGAGACAGCAAACATAGCAGACGGTAAAACAGACCCAACAGATATAACAAACATACCAAACCCATTAGTAGCATTAACAGTAATAGAAAAATGAGGAGGAGTACAATTTTGAAGTAAGAAGAGATGGAGAGTCATATGATGAGAGGTACCAGATTCAAAAATCCAGACAAACGAAGAGATACCTGAAGAAGACCCAAGCAAACCTGAATGAAAAGAGGAAATAATGGAGGCAGATGGGGATCGTTGGGAGGTAGACAGTGTATGTTGAAGCTGACTGATTAATCTGAGCACTCAAGGAAGCCAGGTCAGGATCAAGAGCTGGAGCAGATGCAGTAGAACTGGCGAAAGCCTGAAAATTACTCGGAGAAGAAGGGCAAAATTGGGTTTGAGACTGCTAAGAATACGAGCCAGATAGACATCCCTTCTTGGAACAATGATACTTCCAAGGCAGAAAGCACACTCATCCAAAGCTAGAGACATCATAATAACCAAAAAGCTAAGAGGTTCAAGTGTAATAAACCCTAAATAGCCAAACTAGGGGTCAAAGGATAATAAACAAAAATCTGATGGGGCAAAATCTAATAAACTAATGCCAGATGGGCCAAATATGACCAAACATAACTAGAAAAGGAGTTACGTAATTCCCAAAACAGATGTAGCGAACCAGAGAAGAGATGGGTCAACCAATCTGACCTAGAACTAGCGAGAGAGAGAAAGCAGACCGTCGCAAGAACCAGACGAAGTACCCAAGTGAGATGGGTCGACTACGTAAGACCAGAGATTAGGATCAGAGATGGCTGCCAGGGTACTTTGAAAATTCAACAATCCATATTCTCTAAATCCAACAATCACCACCTCCATCACCACCCATCCATCTTTGCCAAATCCAATAATCAAAACCTACCCACTATCAAAACCTTGAAAAATCTTTGGCGTCAATATTCCGGCTGCAATGATGGCTACTATTTGATTGCATACACTTTTCCAGCGATGACAATGAGTAGAAGTTTTTTCGACAACCACAAGTCCATGAGACGAGAGGAATACAACAATAAAAACTCAAAACAGATTCACAACTTTGATGGTTTTCTTAGTTTAGAGGAGATTGGCCTTGTAAGGGTAAGTATCTTGAAAAAAATGGCAAAAATAATAAAAATTGTTCGTTATTTTTTCAGGACTGAACTTCCAAACATATGACCAAAATCTGGAACACAGGTCCGAACATTGTTTGTTTGTTCAGGAATTAGGAACCGAACATTTCTTATTTGTTCTGGAACAAATAACCGAAGCAGCAACAGAAGCAGGCAGACAAAAAAGGTCCGAGCACCCTTGAGTGGTCGACTGGTGGGTGGAATCTTGTCTAGTTTTGCTCACACAATGAGTCCATGGATAAATGACAGAAAACCAACTAGAGAAGCATGAGAGTAGGTTGTGTTGTATGTGTGACAAAAGATAATAGGGGGAAAAAAAAATAGATTGACAGACATCATAATGAAGCAAAGAAAAAAAACTTCTTAATCAGCACAAATTTTTTCTACTGGTTTTCAAAGGTTCTACCGTCATGGGTTTTGTTAGGTTTTGGGAGAGAGGCTTTTTTGGGGTGTGGTGGCGTGCATTTGAATGGGTGGAATGTTTTTACAAAGATGATTTTGGTATCATTTGGGGTAAGAAAAAATATTTTAAAGGTTTTAAAATTTATAAGTGGGAGTCCAAAGAAGTAAGGGATCCAAAATAATTGATGGAGTGCTAATAATAACACTTATAAAAAAAACATAGAACCAACTTGCATTTAAAGATTAGCTTTCAGTGACTAGTCTCATTGGCATAAGATTAAGAGGTTTTTTTATTTATTATTTTAAAGAAGATTTTCAACTTTAAGGTGGTAACCTATTGTGTGCTATGAAATGCACTTGATTGTCCAACCACTGAATATATCATGAAGTAAGCATTTCTTATATCTCAAATCTTGATAACAAAAGCATTCAATTTGTACGAACCTCAAAATGTGGTCAGTTTGAAGAATTGAATGCTGTGCATTTTTTTTTTTTTGATCTTACGTGCATTATATGTTCTTTTGAAATCATCTTGCAAGAAGAGCCAAAACAAAAATAAGGACAATAAAATTCTCCCTATTGGTGAAACATCCCAAAAAGTGTTTATGTAAATCGAATGAACCCAACTCCCACACAAAATAATCTTGTTGCATGTAAGAATCGAAATTTGCAAAATAGATTCACTAGAACATTTTCGTTTGATAATGTTGTTGATTTCTTGTTTTCTGTTTACAAAAAACAGAAATTGAGTTTTAAATAATCTAATAAATGTGAGTAATGAAATTTTAAATATTTGCAGAAATTAGGGGCTTTTATGGACCCGACCTATTTGCCAAAAATGACCAACCTGATTCAATCCACCAACTTTTAAGCAGTTTCAATAGTATGGGTGGATGGATGTAGATGGAGATTTCTAGATCCTCTTATGTTCGGAGGGATGGCAGATGAGAGGCCACTAAAACACCATCTAGGAAACCAATCCAAAAAAAAAAAAGATATTTATTGACAACATTATAAATACACTTCTTGTTTGCTTAAAATATGAGCTTTGTAATTTGAAAAATTATAAATATTTATTATCAATTTTTTTTTATGAAAAATTAAAATTTGTAACTGATCTCCTATACAATGATAAAATTATCCAAATTATTAATTGAAATAAAATTATGATATCATTAAAATCTGTTAATTGACATCATAATTTTTTAATAAAATAAGTCATTTGTTATGAAATTAGAAATTCAATGAGTGGGATATAATTTATAAAACGGTTTAGCTTGTTTCTAGTTGGAGATCAAGACTAGACCGTACAGTCCGCAACATGGGCCCACTTTTGGATCCCATCTCGATGATCTGAACCGTTCACATTTTACAATTCGTTGAGTATATCATCCATGCAAAAAATCAAATCGATCGAATAACAACAATCACTCGTTCGAATCAATTTTATATCAATCATTTATTTTTTTATCGTCCATTTTTTTTTTTTACCTTTATTTGCCTTTTACCCTTATTCTTTATTCTCTCTTTAGTTGTTTGCTAGTAATTTCTTTATTCTCTCTTATGGAGGGAAAGAACTTCTAAAAAAAGGCGTTGTTCTGGGTTGTTAATGACACTAAAAGATCTTTTTGAAGACCAATGGATACCTACCACAAACAATGAAATGTTTGGTCGAAGAATGGGTAGATTTTTATCACTTTTTCAGGTTGCCGACTGAATAGAAAAAACTCCAGAGCTTGGAGGGAACCATTACTCAAATCTCTTTTCCCGCTAGAGATGTGCAAGGAATCAATTGACCCGACAAATCCGTCCGATCCGAATAGAACCCAGGCTCTATGGTCGGCTTCGTCACTCTGGACAGTCAGCAATGGTTTCATATTCTATAAATTTGTTATCTGACGTTCAATGGATTGATCTAAAATATAATTATTAAAACCGAACCGAGCGAGATATATATTATATTATGGGGGTGTTTGGGAAGAAAAAAAATAGCCTAATTTAGGTTAAAATTTACAAAAATACAAACAACAATGCTACAATGGCTCAAAACTGCCATTGTGGTCACAAAAATTGTGGCCCTCAAACATTTTCCAAATACAAAATAGGCTAAAATAGCTAATAAGACAAAATATCACATCAAACCCATAATCATTTCACTTTTTCTCTCACAAACATCACATCCAACCATAAAAAAATCCAATTATCTTCCCAAACACAAATTTTAATATACTAAAATAGCCAAAAACTAAAATAGCCTACTAAAATAACAACTTCCCAAACGAAACCTATATATATTCAAATAGATAGTGGTCCATCTTGGGAATACACACCTCTCTTCATATAATATTTTATATGAGTAATGCTAGAGACTCTAAATATTTTACTAAAAATTTTACCAAATGTCTCACATGGGTGTGGAACTCATATGAAATATGAAACATTTAGTAAAATTTTTAATAAAATTTTTAGTACCTCTAACATTTTTGATTTTATATTTACCTAAGAAATACACACTTGTCATCTCTCTTTTATCACTTTGGAGTTTGATACAAAGTAACTCAATTTCCACTTTATCACAGAGTTAGATAGACTGTCACACTTCCCTATTTTTTCCATAGCCATTCAATGTCCTCTCTCTCTCCCCTAAACCCTAAGAAATTTCTCAGAAAACTAATCTTCAATCTCGATCTCATCTCTCTTCTTCATATCTGCTCTCCCCCTCTCTCTCTCTCACAAACGATTTCCCAAAAAACAAAGCAACTCTCATCTCTCTCCGTCATCTGTTTCTCACTATTTTACCTCTTATCATCGATCTTTAATTTCCTCTTTAATAGTGATTGTAATGGAGAAGTGTTGTGAACAAGGGTGTGGAGATGTTGGGTGATGGCAGTCGTGGTGGTTGCGACTAGTGGTTGGTGGCTGTTGCTGAAAAGAGCGAAGGCCGTGGCGTTGATAGAGCGACAAGCAACGACGGGAAAAGAGTGGTGAGTTTCTTCTCTCCCCTTTTCCCCCCAATTTTCACTTCCCTCTTTCTCACACTGATCTGTAAGTATATATATATATATATATTATATGAGTTTTATTTGTTGATTTGAAATTTGATTTCGTTTTTGGACAGATTTTTTCCACACTTATCAAATTCTCGAAATCACTCGAACCGACTGCTAAACTGAGTTCTTTGGTTCGGTCGATTTTGAACTTCACAACGGTCGGCGATGCATAACAAATTTTCTCACCCGATGCTGTCGGTTCGGCTGACGGGCTATGGATAAACCTGAGCCGACCCAACCCGACCCATGCACACCCCCTTCCACATCAAATGATCAATATTCTCAATACCCACATCCCACTTGACAATAAACCATACATTGTTATGTGGCACCAAACTAAACATGGGTGCTATTCGATTAAGTCAGGCTATTACATGGCGTTGAAAAGACCATTTTACGTTAGCCAAAAATGATAAGGGGATTGATGGTGATATTTGAAAGAAAGTTAGGAAACTAAACTTTCCAGCCAAGTGGTCAATGTTCATTTGGAATTTTATTCGCCGAGTATTGCATGCTGATCTATCTCTTGCCAAAAGGGGATTTCAAAATGATTTTAACTGTCCTAGATGTCAAGAAGAGATTGAAACCCTTAAACATGTATTTTTCTGTTGCCCCTTTGCAAAACGAATTTGGAGAGGATAATGTTTGGGGTGAAAATTTGTTATAGGAAACCCAATAGAGGCTGATTCTTGGTTTCTTGAGTGGATCAAAACTGCACTTGATAATGAAACTATCGCTGAATCCATCAAAATTCTTTGGGTAATACGGCTTCATCACAACAAAGCATCCTCTGAACATATTGTAGAGGACCCAATTTGACCTGTGGTTTCTGTTAACCAACTGGATTTTTTTTGGGTATTCAGTAAAAATATTTTTTCATTTCGCGGACGTCCTTGTCATCTATGGCTGTTGAAAATAATTCTCTGAATTCCGTAATTTTTTCTAACAATGCACAATGCTTTCCAAAGACTACTTTTGACAGGTTTATAATAGATGGAGCTTGGAATTCAAAGAAAGCAAGGGCTGCCTAGCTTGTGTTCAACAACAATGGACAACAATCAAGGCCTATGGAGTTCTCTTTTGTTTTTTTTGCCTCATCAACATTGATGGCTGAAGCTTGTGCATGCTTAGAAGTTTTGGGATGGGGCGTGTCCCACAATGTCAACACAGCTGCTATCCATACTGACATTAGTTAACAGTATTACAAATAGTAAAGGAAGTGAATGGGATGTAGACGATGTTATTTTGGATATTTGAAAATATATATGCATCTTATCTCTCAAAAAAACAAAAAGAAGGGATTTTCACGAGGCCATAGTTTTTATTCAAGTTTTTTTATTTTCTCCCCCCCGCGGGGTTCTACTTGGGAGAAGCAACTCCTCGTTTGATTAACTAAAGTATGTACTACGTAAGGAGTGGCTTGGTGGAAATCAAGAAAGCTAGAGCTAATAATTTGGACATCCTTTCCAAATAATTTACAAAAGTTTAACTTAAAACCATAATATGCTACTAAAAGCATGGTTGCTAAACTTGTCACTTAAAAACCACTTCTTGTAAATATAACTAATGCAGAATTTAACATAATATTCCCACATCATGTACTTCTCGGGCGAATTTCAGGCAACCTCAATCCAGTCCCAAAAGCATGGGTCAATGCTTTCACCTCAGACACGTTGTTACAAGTCACGCGTTCTCGCTTAAAACATTCTTCTGGCAGACACTTCAAGCAGTCATCCTTCCAGCTATTCACAGCACATTTGCCATCGGCTTTTCTCAAAACTGGAGGCACGGAACAATATGAGGAGCAAGCATGAGCACAATTCCACATGAAAAAGAAAAAAATAACTAAAAATGAGAATATGAATGCACTAAGGATCAAAGACACGAATAAGATGTTGCTTCTCACTTTCTAGGAGTTCGGCGTCCCTTTTCTTGCTGTCATCACTGGCCACGTAAGTCCACTTGTCCAGTGCCATGCCAAGAAATGATAATAACAGTATCAATGTATTTACACACGCATAAAAATAATATAAAGTACCCCAAGACCTTATGTCACTTGCCAACAAGGAATATGCTTAAAAGAAATTGAATAACACAGGTAGCTAACCATGACTGAAATGTAGGGGCCACATAAAAGGCATAATAAAAATATTAAATAGGAATATCTAACAAAATAAATAACCAATAGATAAGACAACTTGGACTCATCTTCCCAAATCTCATTGGCCCCTTACCTCATTTGGACAATTGTTTTCCAATTTCGTTGAGACGATTACGAAAGCCAAATGCTCAAGTCGTACCATCTCGTCTCCTGCAATGTAAATTATTAAAATATAAAAAAACAAAAACTAAAATACAAAACACAAAATGAAATGCACGAACCTAATTCATCCAAACTACTCAATTGTGATGCAATCCCTACACCGTTTTCCCACATGGCAAAATATGGACATGGGTATGTGTTCTAGACAGATATTCCATGGTCTTACTCTATGCCTCAAGCAAGCACAAAAATGCAAACTATTACTCACCGTAAAATAACAACCTTAAAAGACATGATATAAGACTACAAATAAAAGTCACTCAACACAATTCGAAGGTAGTAAAACCAAGGAAGAAGAATTAAAATCACCGGCGGGTCCAATGGCAGGAGAGAAATCATACCATAAACACTCGCCACATCCCCTGATAACTTGTAAATGATGTATATAGGAACTTTCACAGGCTTCAGAGCCAAAGAGTTTAGCGGTCTATCATTGAGGATCCTCTGGACAGTCTCACCAACTCTAGATAGAGAGAGGCCAAACAAAATATGTTTTAGATTGATGAAACGGTGATCCTGCATTCTTCTTTCGTGATCAGCAGTCTGAATTACTTCAATAACCTCATCCGCAAAAAGTCCAAAGACACCACATGATAAAGGAAAAGTTACTGCTTCCTGAAAACGCTGCAACTGTTGTGCGCATGCACATGCGCATGTGAGAGAAGAAATGGAAGAAGTTGACAAACAATTAACAGGAAACATCAGTATGCACCACCAAGCTATCTCTATCTCTACTGACGGAAAAATATAGTGACAATGACACATGAAATTTATAAACATGAAAAATGACAATGACATTCACAAGTAAAAAATTAAAGGAGCATGTAAAAAATTGAAGGAGCATATAAATCATGCACTTCAAATCATCACAAGCAAGCATATCACACGACGACATACTATGAAACGTAGACAAAGACATGAATACGGAAACGGGACAGTAGACACAGATACGACATCACACGGATACATCAACGTGGAAAATTTCAGAAAAGACAAACCATATGCTAATACATTTACATAATTGTAACACGTCTCTCATCCTTTTAAACCATATGCTAATACATTTACATATCTTTGTCATTCAATTTTATGTGAAAGGTCAATAGGATCTATTCTTAAGAACTATACATTTTTTTAAGGGTATAAGATAATTATGTCAAATTCTCAACTTTGAAACTAAGACGTCAGCAAATTTCTAAAAATTGTTGGTCTAATGTTTATATTTTAGAGACAAACATGGCCAAAGAAATTATGGACATGTCGCAAAATGAATGTCAAACTCGTGTCCAAAATTCAGATTTTTATGTTAAATTATGGACATGAAAATATATATATATATATATTGAGCGTGCGTTCCAAAGTGTCGGAGCAGCGTTAAAGTCTGACACGGACACGTCACTTTCTCAGAAGTGTTTGTGATTCTTAGCCGTAGAATCCAAAAATTAGCAAAGACTGCAAGACGAGATAAAAATAATGCACATCACACTCCCAAAATAGTACAGTATACCAACATCCCAAATCCCAATCATCTTACATATTGACTACACTTTATGCAGAAGTTGTACAACAGATGCTACCTGTGGAAATATAATGCAGCATACAATTGCAAAAATAAATAAATAAATTTGCACAAACCTACTACATTTAGCTAAGAAAACAGCAAATACTGTCGAAAGTTTTTCCTAAGAAATTCAAACATAAGCCAAGAAATTAAAAAGCACCCTCCACTGCGATGAATTAATTCACAAGTTAATCAGTAAGATAAGAGACAAATCAATACAAACTACTTTCATCCCCGTGCTACGCACATGCATATGCAATTCTGTATAGAGTTCGGAAAAAATAGCTGATTTAAAATTAAAGTGCGCTGAAGTTGACCTTAAACGGAGTTGGCAAATGCAGTCATTGGGATATCTTTGATAGCAATATACACGCCAGAACCAACAAACAAAAACCAAATGCACACATAGGCCATTAGTAGTATCAGCTAATAATAAGAACAGATAAACCCGCTTTGAGCCGGATACTGCCAATTCCTCTTTGGAAAGCGTATACAAAACATGCACAAGGATTGAGTATAGCCTACACATATAGTTATAACAAATAAACAGGTTTGGGTAAAAATATGATGTTATCAGATATAGAAAAAGGGGAAATGATCACACAATGTTATTTTTTTATTGATAAGTAATCATACAATGGTAGTCATTTAACTGCCACATCGCATTTGGTGGAAGAAAAATCATAACATAGAAGGAAACAGTGTTGGTTTCAAAAGCAGCATATGCAAAATTCAGACAACTATGGACATATGCTGATGCACGAAGCACTACCCAATCCCTCCATCTACTCTGTGACCAGGAAATAAAATATAAATTGGAGGATAAAAGTCAAATAAAAAAAACAGACATATGACACAAATAAAAAAACAGAAGGGTGTACCACGGATATTTTGAGCTCGGCCAAAGAGAATAGCGCACCCTTGAAAGAACGAACAAAACCAAGGAGCTCAGAATTTTCTAAATTAACTAACTCCTCAAACTTGACACACTTCCAAGCCTCTACAAACAAAGTATCAATAACATGGTGACCTCTTGCGCGCCTCAACTCCAAAGTTAGCTGCATTTTACAATCTTCCTGGTTTTACAAGAGCAAAATTGAACATAATGATTCACCTCTTTAAAAGAAATGTAAACCATAATAAATGAGATACAATTTTGGAAACACATCAAGGCACATCAGCGAAAGAGTTAATATGCCAACAAGATCAGACTGGACTAGAAGCCCAACTGACTGGACAGAAAATCTGTTTGCCATTATCATCAATTGCGATGCCTTTGGTACGCCAACAAGATCAGACACAAATAGCACCCCAACTCACAAGTTTGGAACACCAAACATTTTAGAAAAATAATTTGATCATTTTGATGTAAATTTTAATACAGATTGTTTAATAAAAGTAAAGGAAACTGATGTTAAAAGGAAAGAACCAGACAGTCATACAGACTTTCATAACACCAAAATTGATTTCAAGCTCATACCTTCAGAGGCACATACTTCTGCATTTCAGCCAATGCAAGGCTTCTATCACGCGGGCTGCTAACAATATCCAACTACAACCATAAGAATCACAAATTAGCATAGCACGATGAGGAATTCATCATTGGTAAATGAATTAGTAGAACAATTAGAGTATTCTATCTAGAAAAAGTGCACAATTTTAGTCCATAAGTTGAAACAAAAATATTACCTTGGCCTCGGAAAGATCAAAATCCCAAAGAAAAACCTATATTGAAAAGTAAGCACGCAAAATCAGAGTTCACAAAAAGAAAATAAAGAATAAAGGAAAATTACCACAAAAAAAAAAAAAAGAAAAAGCAAAAGAAACCCACATCAAATAATTATTTGAATGAATGACAAAGATAAGGTTTGAAGTGAAAAGCTAGTTAGAGGAATTATAAAAAAAAAATAAAAAAAATAAAAAAACACAACTAGCAAGAGACAAGCGATTTGGAAAGGCATTATTTGCAAAAATGAGCCAGAAGACAACAGTAGTGATTATCTAGAAAAAAGGTTTGCATGGACTCCGAAAGACGAAACATTTTTTAAGTTGCTAAACAACTGACAAATAAGAGAACAAACAAGGGAGCCAAAAGGGTCATCTAACTCACGTTCACCCCATTTATGTTTCAAGTAGCTGAGTGCAATAAATTATGGGGAAAAAGTACTGAAAATTAACAATTAAAGCAACCAGCGAGAAAGAAAGGGTGAGCATTGGGCTGTGATAACACAAATTGAGTCACTCAAATGGGCAGTTCGTTTTTCCTAAATTAGAATACAAACCTTGAATTAGATAAAATGGGTAGATTTGCAGGCTGGGCCAGAATTGGGAGTGCCAGCTGGTGTCTGAGTTTTAGACTTCATTAAGGCTTTATAACTCTTTGACTATTTCTCGTGTCATCAAAGAGGCAGCAGCGAGAATATTGGGAGCAGGTGGATGCACAGGGGTAAACAGGTGCAAATCAATTGCTGCTCAGCAGACAGATGTTGTTATAGAATATATGGATTGATGGATATGTGGGTTAGATTCCTTGGACTGCCACTCCACTCGTAATGTGTTTCAGGCTTTGGAGATGCACGTGGTGGCTTTGTCAATGGATGAACATGACAAAAAGCTGGCAATAGGTTTTCCAGCATATCTCATAAGGCTTCAGAATTTTCCAGTGATGACCAAGAAGCTCAAAGGTCACCAAAGCCAAGGATGATGAATAAAGGTGTATGACATATGGGAACTGCACAGAGACTGAGTGTGTGGAGGGTAATGAATACCTTATGGGATAGTGGTACAATTGTCCGACAGATGGAGATTTTTTCAAAATTTAAGTGTAGAAGCAAAGGGGTATGTGGATAAAGAAGGTTTGACCGCGTGACAAGGATCTGAACGTACCATTTTTACTATTGGTATGGTACACACCGATACCGTTGAATTTTGGTATACTGTTTCAGATTTATAATCATAAACAAAATATTAAAATTTAGGGGTTGTTTGGGGTGTCCTAAATAAGTGCACTTTTTGTCTTTTTAGACTAAAAAGTTGAGGTTGAAAATATGAATGTTTGAGTTAACTTTTTGACTTTTTATGGAAAAATGTGTAATAAAAAATTGTAAAAATTGATTTGTAGGGGAAAATTAGAATTGGGAGTTGTGCAGCTGTAATTGTTGACTTTTGGTGAATAGTGATAACTTTTTAACTTTCTGACTTTTTAACTTTTTTGAGACTTCCCAAACTTGGCCTTAATTTAGATGTATATATTATAACAATAAAAAATTTATTTAAAAAAAAAAAAAAATCTTGACCAGTAATCAAATTCTCCTATAACAAAGAAAATAATAATATTAATAACAACAACAATAACAAGTGACAGAAATTGTTTGCTTTTTAGAGTGTCAAGAAACCTTTCCCAAGCGTTTTATTCTTCTTTTTTCTTGATTTGTTGCTTGCTTCAAATTCTTTGCAAAGTAGAATAATGCAGTTGTCATTTCAAAAACCATGTCATCACTTCAGGAAGTGAGAATTGTACACATTCTATTCTCCTTCCCTCCCTCCTTTCCGAATGCAGCATACAACTCCCTGTTGTACTGCGCTCTCTCTCTCTCTCTCTATTTCTCTGTGCATGTGTGCCCTTGCGGGGCACTAGATACTTCTCTTCCATCTTCTGATTTCAGCATATCGGACAATAACAGAAACAGAAGACGGAATAGCCAGAGGATGAAAAAACTACAAGATAGACAGAAACAGTCCAGTATTTTGAGTGAAAGAAAAGATGGATGTGTGTACCATTTTTGTGCCGGACGGGAACACCCTGGGATGTACTGACTAATACAATACAAATTATTAACATTGGTCCGAACCAGGTTTGAATGGTATGTAAGTGAGGCCATGAAATGTGTCATTGGAAGGAAAGGGAGAAGCAATAACTAGATGGAGGACAAAGGAAAAGAAGCATCTCTAGGCTCAGAAAGGCGAGGGAGCCAAAGAAGCTGGATAATAAAGTGAATTCCAACAAAGGAATGTACAGTTTATAGGCTCTAACTTTCATGTATGGCTTTCCTCCTTTTTTGCATCCTCTTGCTAATAAAAGTTTATATACCAAACCAAAAAAATTGATGAAATGTGAAAATAGGTATATAACATCACTTGATATATTTGGAATCCACCTCCATGCAATTTAGATAAAATAATCAATTTGAGAACCACATAACTCCTTAATACTCAAAAGAGACCAAATTTCTCAGCTTGACAAACCAAAAAAAAAATCATTCATTTAAGCAGTTACACGAATCCACCGACTATAGCTCATTGTGTAAAATCATATTCGCGGTTAAATCAACATACAATCGTTCAAAATTTTGACAATACAAACAACACCTTGATTGAAAAATTCAATTCAGGTGGTTTTGAAAAAGAAGGGGGAAAAAAGGAAAAGAAAAGAAAAGAAAAGATAAAACTATATATACAGCCCAAAAAAATACTAAATAACATAAATCCCACGGATATTGCATAGTTGTCACAAGGTTTCACTGAGCATTTGGTGGGAAAAAGTATATATGTTGCTATTTCTACTATATGTTAAAAAAACAAAGACAGAGAGAAGCTGAGAGCGACAAGAGTGGAAATAGAACACTTTTTTTTAGATCGGCCAAAAAAAATTTGTATTATAGTAAGTGCCAAAAGGCCACAAACCATATACACTCACAAGGATAAAAGAGAGTCAGAGACAAAAATGAATAGGGTATGTGTTTGGAAGACGAGGAGGAGATAAAATGTGAAAAAAAAATCAAGGAAGAAAGGCAAAAGTAGGTTAGAATAAAAGAGAATAAAGATATTTAATAGCCCTCAACAAAGAAAAAGAACGAAGAAATACGATGGATATATGCACAGGCCATTATTGCCTAACAAAGTTACCTAATAGGACCCAAATCCTATAGTAAAGCCACTAAAAGTCCTAAATGCAACACAACGCATCAACATTCCATAAAAGACTCCTAATAATACTAATCACTTCACTTCACATGCATCCAACAAGTAGAACGCAATAATTCCCTCTTGTTCGAGAAAACATGAACTTAAGTTCCATTCAATAACTAAAAAAATAAAATAAAATAGAACCATCTAAATCTTTATCTTTCACTGAAGTTTTTAAAAAAAAAAAGTCTAAATCCTCATCTTGATTTTTGCTTTGATTTTAAACTAATGCAACTTGGCCAATCAGAAAAACCTAATGCACCTTAGTCTTCATGATAATTTATCAAACATGAACGGGCAACTATAACATGCAAACTTCATGTTAGAGAGATAGAGAGATAAAGAATAGATGATAATGGACAAAGAAGGAGATAAGGGCAAAAGAACAGGAGGTGAAAAGTGGGAAGTAGGAGGAAACGCATAGAGAATCTCAAGAAAGGAATAAGAATAGAGATTGGGAAGTAAAAGATGGGAACAGAACACAATCCCAAAGCAATATTTCAATCTCAATTATTCAATACTCAAATCATATTAACTATGATAAATATTGTCGTTTCAAACCAACTTTATTAATGAGCTTTTTTGTCATTGTTTATTATTTTCAATTTTTCAATCACCATTCTTGTAACACCCTAGAATTTTTCCCTCCGCTCGAGCGCAAGAGTGACGCTAGAGCGGTCTTGTGAGGCTCCCAGTACTTTTGCAATCTATCCAAGATTCTGAGAGTTGTGAATTTCCACAAGAGTGGTCGCTCGAGCGGTCAGCTTGGTTAGTTCGTTTGCTCGAGCGCAAGATTGAACGCTCAAGTGGTCTGCCTGATTGAGTCTGAATTTTTGGGACTAGTGGGGTTGCTCTTGACATTTTAATTATTGTGTTTGGAGCCTCCTTGTTTTATTTTGGGACATTGATCGAAGTGGTAACACGATGGTTGAGTAAGATTAGACCAAAAATTGACTCGGGTAATTTTCCTACGAACAACCATCACTCTTTTGCCATTTTCTTTTTCCACACTTTGAATTTGGGCGTGAGGCTAGAACCATTGAAAAATTTATTTCTGAGGCTTCGCTTTGGACATAAGAATGACGTAAAGCGAAATCTAGATGAGAGAGTTATGCCCATTTGAAGTTTTAGTATCTATGCTGGAAGCAAGTGCACTCGAGAGCAGAAAGTGGCGCTTGAGCAGACTGTGCGAATTCAGCAGTTTAAAAAATGATTTTCTTGATCATTCTCTCCATTTTTCTTCTCTCTCTTCCTTCCTCTCATCCTAAATCCGAAAAACCCTAAATTTTTTACCCAAATACCTTCCATAAAGATTTGAACAAGATCTCTTACCAAAAAGTGAAGAAGGCTTGAAGATCTTACTTTTCTACCGATTGAAATTTGAATTTGCAAAGGATTCTTCTCGGAGCTTTGCTTTCTTGCTTGATCCTTGAGGTAGTGGTTTCTAGTTCTCCTTTAATACTCTCATTTATAGATAGATTTGTGGTATTTTCCTTATACAAATAGAAAATTTATATTTTTAAGCATATTGTGATAAATCATGAGATTGGGGGTTTAGGGTTTGAAATGTTGGGGTTTACTGGTTGGGTTATGATTATGGGCTTAGGAATTTGGGTGTATAATTACTAGAAAAGTTGGAATAAAAAGTGTTGGGTGAAAAGCTTTAAGTTTTCTTAAAACCCTAGCTTGGTACATCATGATAGATGATGGTTTTGCTTAAATTGAAAGTAGTATCATGAAATTGAGGTGTTAAATTGAACATATACAAGTTTAATTGAATTTTGGAAGTGTTTGGGAATTTATGTAAAAGTTGCGATTAAACCCTTGTTGTCGATATTTTAAATTATGTGATAATATGAAACAAAGTTTGGGGGCAGAAATTGTTAATGGCATGGATGATATGAATTTTGTGATGAAATGATGAAATTGAGGTTTAAGAGGTTGCATTGAAATATGTTGAATTGCATTGAGCTATGTTGAACTTGCATCGAATTATGTTGAATTGCATTGTTTGGTGTTGAGTGTGTTGAATTGTATTGGGTTGCATTGAACTGTGTTGGGTTGCGTTGAGTTGTATTTGGTGGTGTTGTATTGGTACCCATGCGGGGAGTTGAAAAAGTGTCCAATTGCTTTGTCTAGGCTTATCGCTGGACAAATGTGAAAAAAACGATTTTTGGGTGTCCACACAGTCCCGCTATATAATAGCTGGCAAAAGTGAAAAAAATGATTTTTGGGTGTCCTCAAAGTCCTGCCGTATTGTAGCCGGCAAAAGTGGAAAAACGGATAGTTTTGAAAATGTTTTTGGGTGTCCACTTCCTGCCATATAATAGCCGGCAAATGTGGGGATGGTTTTTAAAGTCAAATGTTTTGGGGAGTTCACTTCTTGTTGGGTGCCCGCTATCCCACCGTATCAAGTCGGAAAAAGGTGGAATGTGTTGAGAAATGTGTTGAGTTGGTGATGATAAGTGTGAATTGTGATGAACTTATGAAATTACAATTTGAGGTGTACTTTGATACCGAAGGAGAATGCATATAAAAATTATTTGAAAAGAATGGATAATGAAATAGTAATTAGATAAGAGGTTGGTAATAATGAACTCACCGAGTTGTTTGTATTTATAAGGAAAGATTAAGAGGTTTGTTTTTGTAATTAATTGAGAAATTGAATTAAATGAGTTTATTATCCTTGTGTTATGTAGAATTATAATTGATAATGCAAATGTGGATATGATGTAGTTGTTAGACAAGTAGGAGTTGAGTGTAGGAGAATTGTTATTGAATATAAAAGAGATTTGGATTTCTACATTATGGAGTTATAGCAATAATGGATAGACAAGTGAGAATGGATTGTCCGAGGGCTATTTTTGGAGTATTAAGGGAACGTAAACTTTCAGGTTATGGAGTTATACCAATTGTGAATAATAAAAAGGTAAATGGAAATGAAATGAGGAATACTTTAGAATTGGGTTAATAATTTAAAATGGCGTTGTTCCTTAAGCATATTTGTTTTCAAAAAGGATTTATGATTTTCTGATGATAAGGGATAATTTTTATGGCTAAAGGTTTTTCTTAAATGTTCAAATAAATTTTGAGAAAAGGTACTCTCTACGTATGATATTTTGAAATTATAAAACGTCACCTTACTAAATGGTAGCTCCCTGCATGCATGATCATTTCTATCTGTGTTATCTACTGTTGTAGAACTATGAGATTCCTACTGGGCAATTATGCTCATCCCTTATTGTCACATTTTTTTTACAAGAGAATTCGAATTTATTGGTTGGAATTAAGAGGTCCATGCGTCTTTTATGTGTAATTTCATCATAGATGTGAAAGAAATAAATATTGTACATTGATATTTGTAATTATTTATTTGTAACTCCACAGTTGAAGCTTGACATTTATTATTGTTATTGTTGTATTCATTGAGAGAAAGAGCATGTATTATTATGTTTTCTATTACTCAAGGGTGATAGATATGTGTAAAAAAAAAAATGACCTAAATTAAAGGCTTTTGGTAATGTTTCCAAGTAAATAAAAATTGAGGCGTGAAAATTCTTCCTTTTTTTAAGCAATTTTCAAACAATAAATGCCTAAAAAGTCATAAAAATAAATAAATACATAAATAAAACCAAATGAAGAAAAGAACGTTAATTTTTTTTTAAAAACAAGACAAAGAAGGCAGCTAAAAAAGATTGACGTTAATCTACCGACCCCTATGACACTCCACATGGTTAACTAATGAATAATGATGATTCATCCATTTCCTAATCACACAATTCATTTTACAAATATTCACCATATAACTTATGTAGCTAACACTAAATTTACAGAATTACTCCAATGCAAGGTGACACCAGATTCCTAAACTATCAATATGGTTAGGTAAATCCAAACAATCATTTAAAAATTTCAATTTCAAATAGATGATATGACCAATTTATGCAACAAAAAAATTAGGGAAGACAGCACTAACAGGCCCATCCAAAATTGTTATCCATCTTGCTTTAAATAAAGAACCAAGTAGCGAATATCTTGGAAAAAATCAACCAACACAACTCAAATACACTTCTAGAAACAAAACCAAAAGACGGAATATTACTACAGAATTACCTTGAAGGGGTACCCAAGATCTTTTAATAGCGATAAGTATCTCTGATATTGCTGCATACATGCAATTATCCATGCAAGAAACACATGGAATAGTAAGTATTAAGATTAAGACTCATTGCCACACAAAAGGAAATAATTGTTACCTGCAGCATCTCACCAACATCATGTTCCCTTAGGATAGAAAATGCTTTTACATCCATCCCCCCTACAGCAAAGGCTTTCAGAGGACCATCATCAGACTGCATATCAGGGAAGGAGTTGAATCATCAATTCCTCAAAAGAAAATGGGTAAAAAAAACAGAGGAAAAAAAGTGTTCAAGTCAGGTGCTGTTTAAAAAAGCTAAAAACTAAGGACTGAAAATTAAGTATTAAGAACTGAATTCTTAATTTTTAAGCTAACAAACCTATTTGATAACAATTGTGCTGAACTAAAAATAAGTTATACGTATTAGATCAAATTTGAAATTTATTATTTTGAACTTGTATGTTACAATTTTTATATTGTGATGATGGTGGTAGTGGTGGGTTGTGATGGTATGATGGTGATGGTCATAGCGGTACTGGTGGTGGTGGCATGGTGGTGGTGGTAGCAGTAGCAATGGTAATGGTAGTAAATGATGGTGGTGCTCATGGCAACAATGACAATGGTGATGAAGGTGACGGTGGCGGTGGCGGCATTGGCATGATTGTGGTGGTGGTGGTGGTGATAGTGGTAGCGTTGGCAGTGGTAGTGATGATGGCATGATAATGATAGTGGCGGCGGCGGCAATAGCCGCAACGATGGTGGTGGTGGTGGTGGTGGTGAGTTTATAATAGTGTATATCGATACTTATGTTTAATATTTATATATTCAATTAGAATTAAGTAAGTTTGATATGACTTAAAATTTTCTTAACTTTTAACTTACATTTTAAGAGGTACATAAATTTTTAAGTGATATCAATTGTGATTATCAAGGAGGCATAATTAATTATCATTTAATACATTTAGTTTTAAGTGTTGAATCAGGTTATCACTTAATTTTTGGAATCAATAAAACTAAATTGAGTATTAAACTGTTTAAGCACTGAACTGAAATTGCAATTTTTATAAAAAGTAATAAAAAATGTGGATATAAAAAATTTAAATATATCAACTAATTTAATAAAAAAGAGTTTTGCTATTAGCACCTTATGAATTATTTTGAACCCCCCATTTTTTAGCTTTTTTTATTACAATAATAACCTCAAATGAAATTATTAAAAAGAACATCAAAAATTTTGGAACATCCCATTTCACAATTAAGCCCACACACCCACTACATCAATAGTTAGGGTTTATGAGACCACCCACCCCCATCACCACCCATCCATCTTTCCTAAATCTCACAGTCAAAACCTACCCATCACCAAAAACTTGCAAACCCTTTGGCGTAAACATTCCGGCGATAACGGTGGCAACTATTTGATTGCATACACTGCTTCAACAATGACAATGAATGCAAGTTTTTTCGACAACTACAACTCCATCAGAAGAGAAGAGTACAACAATAAAAACTCAAAAGAGATTCATAGCTTTGATGGTGTTCTTAGCTAAGAGAAATTGGTCTTGCAAAGGTAAGTTTCTTGAAAAAAATGACAAAAATAATAAAAATTGTTCGTCATTTTTTCAGAACTGAACTCCCAAACATATGACCAAAATTTGGAAACACAGGTTCAAACATTATTAATTTGTTCAGGAACAGGTAACCAAACATTTCTTATTTGTTTCAAAACAGATAACCGAAGCAACAGCAGAAGTAGGCAAACAAAGGAGGTTGGACCACCCAAGGGTGGTCGATCGGTGGGTGAAATCCTGCCTAAATTTGCTCACACAGTGAGGCCATAGATGAATGATAGAAAACCAACTAGAGAAGCATGAAAGTGGGTTGTATCGTGTGTGTGAAGAGATTACAGGCAAAGAAAAAAAAAAAAATCAAATAGATTGACAGACCTTATAATGAAGCAGAGAAAAATAATTAATCACCACAAATTTTTTCCACTAGTTTTGGAAGGTTCCACCATCGTGGGTTTTGTTAGGGTTTTAGAAGAGAGACTTTTTGGGGTGTCAGGGCATGCATTCTAATGGGTGGAATATTTTTACAAAGATAATTTTGATATCATTGGGGGCAAGAAAAGAAATTTTAAGAGTTTTAGAGAATATAAGTGAGTGTCCAAAAAATAGGGGGTCCAAAATAATTGATGGGGTGCTAATAACAACATTCATAAAAAAACATAGAACCAACCTGTATTTAAAGATTAGTTTTCAGTGACTAGTCTCACCGGCATAAGATTCAGAGGGTTTTTTATTATTATTTTAAAGCAGATTTTCAGCTTTAAGGTGGTGACCTGTTGTGTGCTATGAAATGCACTTGATTGCCCAACCACTGAATATATCATGAAATAAGCACTTCTTATATCTCAAATCTTGATAACAAAAGCATTCCACATGTACGAACCTCAAAATGTGGTTGGTTTGAAGAATAGAGTGCTGCACATTTTTTTTTTTTCTTACGTTCGTTATATATTCTTTCAAAATCATCCTGCAAGAAGAACCAAAACAAAAATAAGGACAATAAAATTCTCCCTATCGGTGAAACATCCCAAAAAGTGTTTATGTAAATCGAAAGAACCCAACTCCCACACAAAATAGTCTTGCTACATGTAAGAATCAAAATTTGCAAAATAGAATTACTAGAAAATTTTCGTTTGATAATGTTGTTGATTTCTTGTTTCCTGTTTACAAAAAACTGAAAATAAGTTTTATAAACAAACTTTGAAAACAAAAAATAAACGAATTTGATAAGTTGCAGTGACCCATTGTTGAGGGTGGATGGAAACTTGTTTGGTGTACAAAAAAAGTTTTGAAAACAAAAAAAACAAGTTTGGTAAGTTGCAGTGACTTGTAATTGAGGGTAAACGGATGTGGTGGCCTGCGGTAGGGGCTGTAAAGGGTGGAGGTTGGAGTTGGTGCTCGAATTATTGCTAGAGGTCACGATGAGGCAGAGGGTCACAGGAGGTGACCATCTGATAGCCAAAAGGTGGTCAGAGCTTACAGATGGCCGCCAACAGTGGGTGGTGGTGGTGGTGGTGGCAGTGAATGGTAAGTGGAGGTGGTGAGAGAGGAAGAGTGAAATTTTGTTTTAAAACAAGTGAACACTCGTTTTTTTTTTTTCCAAAATTTTAAAATTAATTCCATTTTTTTAAATCAAAAATAAACCAAACAAGTCTTCATTTTCAGTTTCAAAAAAAAAAAAAACACACACACACACACACACACAACAACCATACTAAACAAGACCTTACATTTTTGCTGAATTTCACCCCAAGAAAATAATTTCAAATTTAATCAAGTCCATACATGTCATAAAAATCAAGCACTAGTAATAAGCATAATAAACATAGTAATTACCAGTGTACCATGCAAATGTTAACTTGATGTGCCCAAAATTGAATAGTGTGCATGTCACTAGTTTGCCCAACTTACATACATAATACATTAAAAGAATAATTGTCTTGCTTCATAGTTCAAGATGATATGTTTTTCAAATGTTCCTGACTACCAAAAGCAATACATACTAAAAACTCAGTAAGGGCAGCTTCGCCCAACAGCCAATATGCCATTAGTGCTTCTGGTGGCGCAGGTTCAAATAACAGATAACAACCTTTTGGGTGCCACATACCCAATATCCTAGAAATCAACTCCCAAAACCCATCAACATCTCTCATAATCAGAACTTGCCAAAAAACTTGCCTCATATATTCAGAGCTGATTCTAAGCAAACCAGAAAATTATTCACAAAGGCTACAAAAAAATTGGCATAATATGTAATCCTAACAGCTGGGTAATTCTATGTGCACACAACACACAGAATCTCAGCAAACAACATTTGTATTGTTCGGATATAAACTTCCAAACAAAAAAAAAAATTGTTCAATCATACATTCAGTTCAATAATTTATATCCAAACAGCTGTCTTTTGTATGGAAGTTTATATCCGAACATTTAACTTTTGTTTGAAAGTTTATAACCTAACGGCACAAGCCGTGTGTGTTGCGATTTTCTCTAGTGTGAATAGAATTTCCCCTTGACCAAGCCACTCACCCAGTATATCGAAACAAAATTGGATGCCATAAACACTCAATTCATTTCGATTCAGTACCCAATCATAAATGCCATGCTAACTCAAAACTCTTATCAGGCCTTTATAGAGAGGCTCAGTAATCATTCTAGTATCTTTGTCAAGCAAATGATGAAACACTATTGAGTCCAGCAAAAACTGTTAAAACCAAAAATAAAGGATTTAGAGCATTTGCAACAATCATTGAATATAATGCATGCATATTGCACAAATAAATAAACTGCTAACAAGAAGGCAAAGAAAATTGATTGTGAAAAAAACAATAACCACAAAAAGTAAAGGTGTATGCACAATAAAACAGAATTTACCACATCAAAAATGCTCAAGACAAACTTTGCAATAGTTCCAAACACACTGTCCCGAACAGTATTGGGTAACTCCTCCAACGTATCCCAAGGAAGAAGGAGCATCCCTCTCAAAGTCAATGCTACAACGGCCTCTACAATCTTCTCTACTTCTCCACGGCATTTTCGGTTTCCAGTTGCCGCAGGCCATAAACCAATTTGCAAGTGCTAAAATAATGTTCTTTGAAAAATTAGGGATTGGAGAGCAAATACACAACAAAGAAACCGTATGAAATAAACACATGGAGTAAAATCAATCCATATTTTATAATTTGGTTTGGATAACAATTCCTTTCAACTATGCTTCTAATTCAAAAAAAAAAAAAAAAACACAAATTGAACCCCGCTAATAAAATCCAATAGCCATTTATATCCTTTGGATGTCAATCGAGATAACAACAGCGCTGCACTATCTCATCATATATACAATCACCCGCAAGGAATCCAACGCATAAAGGTTTGCACTACAACTACTACTTGAGCATTAGTGCACAATTCGGTAACTTGTGGAAAACCTCTCTCTCTCTCTCTCTCTCTCTCTCTCTCTCATTCTCTTATTGGAACTCTAACTCTCTTTTTATTTGATCAGATGAAAAGACTTTCATTTATCAAAAATATAATGGCCTTTACTATTTTTTATAGTTGATGTAACTAACCATTTGTTTTTAATTTGTACATTGGTATATGTGTTTTAAAGTTTCAATGCTATTACTCATTTTAAGATTTTTTCTCTACGTTGTATGTTTTCTTAGAATGCTTGAATTTATTAATTAATTTTGTTCTTATGCCTAAAATGATTTTTATTTGCTACTATTTATTTTTTAAAAAACAAATTTATTTAAAACTCGCCATATATTTTTAAAAATATATATTAAAAAATGTATCCCCGTACCCATATCCAACTTTTTATCGATGTCCCCATACCCTAAAATCATAAAAAATGGAGAAGAATCCGACTCTTAGACACATCCATGTCCAACATTTCTACTAAGTCCGTGTAACATTGGTCACCACTACCATCACCATTAGTAACCACCACAACGATAACAATACTTCTATAAAACAAATGAGCTTCCAAATAATGTTGGCTTTACTTCTATAAAGCACAACAAAAAAGCTATGGTGAATCTGCAAATCAAATAATATGGCACAGAATCTTTTGGTGAATTCATTCGACTCCATAGTGATTAAATATTACACTCTCCTTGAAATCACTTATTACTATCAAACGTTTTAATAAGCAAAAAAAAACTTTCATGAGCTTTTAGTCACAACTGGAGGTATGCCACTACAAAATTGCAAAGAAAATAGCTGTATTCCTAATAATACTACCAAAATAATCATAATCCTTGTTGCTTATGTATATATGCTTTTGACAGTTCAAGGTATACATAATTATGGGGATTGCAGGTTCATATAAACTCATATCAATGCATTACTCAGTTAGCACAAAATAATTAAGACAAAACAAAGCCACCAACCATTTCTTAAAAATGAAACCATCATAGAATGCAAAGCAAATAACAAAGTCTATCAGCAATAAATAGCTAGACAAAAAGACATAGAACATTATTTACCTAGTAAGATAGATGTGCAGTACAGTGTATCAAAAGTACATGTAGATTTGGATGTGGTTGGTTGTAGTCTGTGTGTACATAATTACAGAGGATGTATTCATTCAAATTTTAGTCAACCAAATCTTCTACACACATACATAGTAGCAATTGTTCCATATCGCTATCATCAAAGTTCAACAAATATGAGAAAAAAAGGAAACAAATCAATCTAAACTGACAAATTTTCATATTCATCGAATCAAATAAGACCAATAATATACGAGAATACATTTCTAGAAATGATTTTTGGCAGGCATTAAAAGGGAATCATGATTGTGAATGCAGCACATAAATGTGTCAGTGTGTTTCCGTAATAGATGAGATCAATCTGATACTGCCCATTAAAAATCTGGGAGATGATGAAGTTTTACCTCTTTACCACATGAGTCTCTTCCTCTGGCCTTCGATGTTCCCCTAACTTTCCTCTTTCCAAGATGTTGTTTCTTATATTCGTTAACAGTCATCTCCTGTAAGACACAAACAGGGAAAAGATAAATGGCAAGTGAGTTTTCAATTACACACAGGTGGTCTTCTGCACTCGGCAAGTAAACATTACCGTTGAACCATCTTCTTCTTGAACCTTTTCAACATAACTATCTAGAGTAACTCCTTGTTTAACGTTCCCGCGTTTAGATACAATTAGAGCAGCATCCCTGTTTCAGATAAGTAATGGAAGACTGGTAAAGAAGGGTGAAATTTTAAGAACAAAAACAACCACCACCAAAAAAAAAAACAGGGCGTGACAAGAAGGAATCAGAGATAAATAAACAAATGCACATCACAATCATAAACATATAGTCAGGGTGCAAACTCCACAGTAGATGAAGCGAAGAATGGGAGAATGGGTATTAATATACATAAACTGTAAAGGATAAGGACAAACAAACATCCCAACCAACCATGTAACAAAATCAATAGGAACTAAAAGTACAAATAACAACAAGGAGGAGAATAATGACTTAAAGCTCACCATCCATCCCAAACATGAACAACGTTACTGCTACTAAAAGTCACTGCATAATCATCATCAGATTCAGAGTCAAACTTGTATTGACGAGCATTCAAAAATAGAGCTCGGCATACGCGTAACGCTTCAATAGTCCTGATTTGGTAGTCCAAACAAACAGAAGGCATGAATTGATATATAAATTAAAGACAGTCCAATTAAAAAATATAATAATAATAATAAATAAATAAAAAAGAATGTGATAATCTAACAACAGATAATAACAAGGCATGCTTACTCATCTCGTCGATTCAAATTCTCCCTTTCAAGTATCTTTTGGCCATCATGGGAATTGCTCCCACTTCCTTGTACTCCATCATCCTTGGATTTATTGTCCTCTTCAACAATTACCCTAAATTTGGCCACACAAGATAGATAATACATAATAAATCTCTTTAGTTTAGACCATGAACAAATGTTCGTTATTAATGTGAAGCAAAGTCCCGCATCGCTGGAGTACAAAAATAATGTTATAGCTTTTAGGGCATGTAATAGTTAACAGTTCACATACTGAATCAAAGAAGAACAACTTGTAAAGATTACCTTCCAGCACAATCATCACTATAACCACACATCATATCCATCCCTGTGATCACCCCTCCTCTTTGATTCCTCGCTGAAACCAAACAACCGATCCTCCAATCAGAATATGTTTACAGATTTCAAAAAATAATAATATGTTTAAAGAAATTAGGGCATAGAATTAGAGAGAGATTATTAAGTTAGGAAACACAAAACCTAAAAACCAAATAGAAAAATAAATTATAGAAATTTAGGGTAAACATGAGCTAAAGAAATAGAGAGAGAGAACTCACCAGACGTGGATGCCTGGTCAGCGACGGCGTCACTGCTGCTCTGTTGGTTGTTCGCCTAAATCCGGACGCTCGCTGCTGCTGCTGCCTAGTCGCTGCCAATATTAACTTCTAAATTATAAAGTAGCCCTTTAAGTTCTTCTTAATTATGAAAATGTCTGCTCTATTTAATATATTTTCACAAAATACTAAAATAGAAAAGTCACTTCCTGTATTACCATTGGAGACCCTTAATTTTGGCACCAAAACCTATAAATATATAGAGATGGCAATGGGTATGGTATGGATCGAGACCTCTTACCCTACACCCACCCTAATTTTAGTCATTTGCCTCATTCATCCCTAATCCAATTCTTATAAATTCTTTTCCATCTCACTAAAACTCGCAAATGTAACCTCTCATCCTCGCTTCTTCCTACGTTCGGGGCAAAGGGCAAATATAATACAAGCTAGTTGCAATCTATTTCAAGACAAATGGATTTGAGTAAGGCAAAGATCTAGAGGCAAGTATACAGGTCAAGACTAGCCTTCGCTCGACTAATGGCCAATTTCACACTTTTGAGAGAAATAAACGACTTCATAGCTCACCTACATCCCTTCTTTTGCTCGGGCGATTGAAGCACACTCTAGGGACCCACAATCAGAAATTTAACAATAATTATATTTATAACATAACAGAAACTCATACATTGTTTAGATATTATATATATATATTTTTAAAAAAAATTAGCAATATATTATACACATATTACATATATAAATATATATATATATAATATTATTATTTATTTACTACTATATTTACGGATCGGGTAGGGCTTAGGTAAAGAATACTCTTCCTCGCTCCCGATCCGAATCCAATTAGGCTGTTGAAAAGTTTTTCTAAACCCGACCTTACATTATTCAACCACTCTCGAACCCCATTCCTTTTGGGCTGGGTATTTTGCCATGCCTAAGTATGGATATATGGCAAATCCTAACATGTGCTCTTGTGATACATGCTACTATTAGGAATATGAGAAAATGTGTATTGCAAAATTGAAAAAAGATTATAAAGTGTTTTATAATTCATAAAAAGTGTATTATATTTAGTAATAAATATTTCGGGATTAACACATTTTTTATCCTTTTAATGTGCCCTACGCCATTTATTTATTTATTTTTAAGAACATAGGGCACTTGTTAATATGACCCTAGGTATATTTGTTAAACACAAAAAATAATACTTAATACATGATATAATGTATGTAAAAAAATTAAAATAAAATATTAATCATGTAAATAGTAAAACTAAAACCATGAGATCTATTAAATAATCTAACGAATGTGAGTAATGCAAGTTTAAATATTTGCAGAAATTAGGGGTGCTTGCGGACCCGACCTATTTGCCAAAAATGACTAACCCGATTCAATCCACCAACTTTTAAGCAGTTTCAATAGGATGAGTGGACGGATGTGGATGAAGATTTTCTAAATCCTCCTATGTTCGGAGGGATGGCAAATGAGAGACCACCAGAACACCCTGTAGGAAACCAACCAAAAAAATATATATATTTATTAACAACATTATAAATACACTTCTTACTTGCTTAAAATACGAGCTCTATAATTTGAAAAAATTTAAATATTTATTGTCATTTTTTTTTATGAAAAAATAAAATTTTTAACTGATCTCCTATACATTGATAAAATTATCTAAATTATTAATTGAAATAAAAATTTGATATCATTAAAATCTATTAATTGATTTCATATTTTTTTTTAATAAAATAAGTCATTTGTTATGAAATTAGAAATTTAATGAGTGGGATGTAGTTTTCAAAAAGGTTCAGCTTGTTTCTAGTTGGAGAATAAGACTGGACCGTGCAATTCGCGATGCAGGTTCATTTTTGCGTCCCATCTCGATGATTTGAACCGTTCATAATTTATGATTCACTGAGTATATCCTCCATGCAAAAAATCAAATCGAACGAATAACAATAATCACGGGTTTGAATCAATTTTATATCAACCATTTAATTTTTCACCGTCTATTTTTTTTGCCTTTATTCGCCGTTTACCCTTTATTCTTTATTCTCTCTTTAGTTGTTTGGTAGCCATTTCTTTATTCTCTCTTATGAAGGGAAAGAACTTATAAAAAAAGAGTTGTTTATGGGTTGTTGGTAACGACACTAAAGCCAAGTTTGGGAAGATCAAAAAAAGTTAAAAGTTAAAAAGTTACTCAAAAAGTTAAAAAGTTGTCACTATTCGTCAAAAGTCAAAAATTACGGCTGCACAACTCCCAATTTTAATTGTCCCCTACACACTAATTTATATAATTTTTTAATACAGATTTTTCCATAAAAAGTCAAAAAGTTAACCCAAACAATCATATTTTTTTCCTCAACTTTTTAGTCTAAAAAGACAAAAAGTGCACTTTATTTAGGACACCTCAAACAACCCTAAAAGATCCTTTTGAAGACTAATGGATACCTACCACAAACAATGAAATGATTGGTCGAGGAATGGGTAGATTTTTATCAGTTTTTTCAAGTTGCCGACCTAATAGAAAAAACTCCAGAACTTGGAGCGAGCCATTACTCAAATCTCTATTTCCACATCAAATGATCAAACATATTCTCAATACCCACATCCCACTTGATAGTAAACCATAAAATGTTACGTGGCGCCAAACTAAAAATGGGTGCTAATTCGATTAAATCAAGCCATTACATGGCGTTGAAACGACCATTTTACGTTAGCCAAAAATTATAAGGTATTGATGGTGATATCTGAAAGAAAGTTGGGAAACTAAACCTTCCAGCCATGTGGTCAATGTTCATTTGGAAGTTTATTTGCAGTGTACTGCAAGTTGATCTATCTCTTGCCAAGAGGGGATTTCAAAATGATTTTATTTGTCCTAGATGTCAAGAAGAGATTGAAACCCTCAAACATGTATTTTTCCATTGCCCCTTTGCAAAACGAATTTGGAGAGGATCCTGTTTAGGGTGAAAATTTGTTATAGGAAACCCAATAGAGGCTGATTCTTGGTTTCATGAGTGGATCAAAACTACACCTGATAATGAAACTACTGTTGAATCCATTGAAATTCTTTGGGGAATGTGGCCTCAACGCAACAAAGCATCCTTTGAACATATTGTAGAGGACCCAATTTGACCTGTGATTTCTATTAACCAACTGGATTTTTTTTGGGAATACAATAAAAAAAAAAATCATTTCGCGAACATCCTTGTCATCTATCGCGGTTGAAAATAATTTTGCAAATTCTATAATTTTTTCTAACATTGCACAATGCTTTCCAAAGACAACTTTTAACAGGTTTATAATAGATGGAGCTTCGATTTGGCATTCAAAGAAAGCAGGGGCTACCTAGGTTGTGTTCAACAACAATGGGCAACAATCAAGGTCTATGGAGTTCTCGCTTTTTGCCTTATCAGCATTGATGGCTGAAGCTTGTGCATGCTTAGACGTTTTGGGATGGTACGTATCCTACAATGTTAACACAGCTGCTATTCTCACTGACAGCCTACTAATAGTTAACAGTATTACAAATAGTAAAGCAAGTGAATGGGATGTGGATGATATTATTTGGATATATGTAATCTCTGTTAGTCCCTTTTAAGACTTAAATATATATGCATCTTATCTCTCCTAAAAAAAACAAAAAGAAGGGATTTTCACAAGGCCATAGTTTTTATTTAGGGTTTTTTTTATTTTCTTTCACACGTGGGGTTCTATTTTGTTTGATTAACTAAAGTATATACTACGTAAGGAGTGGCCTAGTAGGTATCAAGAAAGCTAGAGCTAATAATTTGGACATCCTTTCCAAACAATTTACAAAGTTTAATTTAAAACCATAATATGCTACTAAAACCACCGTTACTAAACTTGTCACTTAAAATCCACTTCCTGTAAATATAACTAGTGCAGAATTTAACATAATATTCCCATATCATGTACTTCTCTAGCGAATTTCAGGCAACCTCAAGCCAGTCCCAAAAGCATGGATCAGTGCCTTCACCTCAGACACGCTGTTACAAGTCACACGTTCTCGCTCAAAACATTCTTCTGGCAGACACTTCAAGTGGTCATCCTTCCAGCTATTCACAGCACACTTGCCGTCGACTTTTCTCAAAATTGGAGGCACGGAACAATACGAGGAGCAAGCATGAGCACAATTCCACATGAAAAAGAAAAAAATAACTAAAAATGAGAATATGAATGCACTAAGGATCAAGGACACGAGTAAGATGTTGCTTCTCACTTTCTAAGAGTTCGGCATCCCTTTTCTTGTTGTCATCACTGGCCACATAAGTCCACTTGTCCAGTGCCATGCCAAGAAATAATAATAACAGTATCAATGTATTTACACACGTATAAAAATAATATAAAGTACCCCAAGACCTTATGTCACTCGCCAACAAGGAATATGCTTAAAAGAAGTTGAACAAAAAAGGTAGCCAACCATGACTAAAATGTAGGGGCCACATAAAAGGCATAATAAAAATATTAAATAGGAATATCTAACAAAATAAATAACCAATAAAACTCGGACTCATCTTCCCAAATATCATTGGCCCCTCACCTCATTCGGACAATGTTTTCCAATTTCACTGAGAGGATTACGAAAGCCAAATGCTCAAGTCGTACCATCTCGTCTCCTGCAACGTAAATTATTGAAATATAAAAAAACAAAAACAAAACTAAAAACCAAAACCTAAAATACAAAAAACAAAAAATGAAATGCACGGACCTAATTTATCCAAACTACTCAATTGTGATGCAATCCCTAAACCATTTTCCTAGAAGGCATAATATGGACAAGGGTATATGTTCTAGACAGATATTCCATGCCCTTACTCTATGCCTCAAGCAAGCACAAAATTGCAAACTATTACTCACCGTAAAACAATAACATTAAAAGATATGATATAAGACTACAGTTAAAAGTCACTCAACATAATTCGAAGGTAGTAAAAGCAAGGAAGAAGAATTAAAATCACCGGCGAGTACAATGGCAGGAGAGAAATCATACCACAAACACACGCCACGTCCCCCGATAACTTGTAGATGATGTATATAGGAACTTTCACAGGCTTCAGAGACAAATAGTTTAGCGATCTATCACTGAGGATCCTTTGGACAGTCTCACCAACT